TAGTTGTAGTAGTAGTAGTAGTAGTAGTAGTAGTAGTAGTAGTAGTAGTAGTAGTAGTAGTAGTAGTAGTAGTAGTAGTAGTGGTAGTAGTAGTAGTAGTAGTAGTAGTAGTAGTTGTAGTAGTAGTAGTAGTAGTAGTAGTAGTAGTAGTAGTAGTAGTAGTAGTAGTAGTAGTAGTAGTGTAGTAGTAGTAGTAGTAGTAGTAGTAATAGTGTAGTAGTAGTAGTAGTAGTAGTGTAGTAGTAGTAGTAGTAGTAGTAGTAGTAGTAGTAGTAGTAGTAGTAGTAGTAGTAGTAGTAGTAGAAGTAGTAGTAGTAGTAGTAGTAGTAGTAGTAGTAGTAGTAGTAGTAGTAGTAGTAGTAGTAGTAGTAGTAGTAGTAGTAGTAGTAGTAGTAGTAGTAGTAGTAGTAGTAGTAGTGGTAGTAGTAGTAGTAGTAGTAGTAGTGGTAGTAGTAGTAGTAGTAGTGGTAGTAGTAGTAGTAGTAGTGGTAGTAGTAGTAGTGGTAGTAGTAGTAGAAGTAGTAGTAGTAGTAGTAGTAGTAGTAGTAGTAGTAGTAGTAGTAGTAGTAGTGGTAGTAGTAGTAGTAGTAGTCGTAGTAGTAGTAGTAGTAGTAGTAGTAGTAGTAGTAGTAGTAGTAGTAGTAGTAGTAGTAGTAGTAGTGGTGGTGGTGGTGGTGGTGGTGGTAGTAGTAGTAGTAGTAGTAGTAGTAGTAGTAGTAGTAGTAGTAGTAGTAGTAGTAGTAGGAGTAGTAGTAGTAGTAGTAGTAGTGGTAGTAAGAGTAGTGGTAGTAGTTGTAGTAGTAGTGGTAGTAGTAGTATCAGTAGTAGTAGTAGTAATAGTTGTTGTTGTTGTTGTTGTTGTTGTTGTTGTTGTTGTTGTTGTTGTTGTTGTTGTTGTTGTTGTTGTTGTTGTTGTTGTTGTTGTTGTTGTTGTTGTTGTTGTTGAGGTCATGTCGATGTATTCAGGTAATAGCGACTACAGACACTGCGGCTAACTTCGTGCAATCAGTTGATGGTGACCACACACTGCGGCCAATATCAAGCGCTCAGGTGATAGCGAACACCAACACTTCGCGCATGTCTCAGCTTCTAGGTGATCATGACCACAGGCATTGCCGCCAGGTCCCAGTAGTCAGGCTACAGCGACCAAAGACACTTTGCGCATGTCCCCTCGTTCCGGTGATAGCGACCTTACACATTGAGGCCATGTTCACTCCTTGAGGTGATAGTGACACTTATAACATCCTTGAACATTATATATATACATATAAATACCTTATCGCTGTTTTAGGAGAGAAAAGGAGTGTTTTCACAGAACTGTAGCTGACATGGGATCGTTATGTAAACATTTTTATCCAGCAACCGTTTGATATCGCTCAGTTTGATCGGCCATGTTCATGATGGTCGAGATGACTATGCTCATATCCTTTAAGTGCAGCTTATTAAATCGATCATTCATACAATTTAAGCTTTGATGTCCAATATCAATATTTGTTTTTGGTTGTTACGATTAAAAAACTAAAACTCAATCTTTTATGAAAATGAATGATATCTTGTTCAATAAATTACCATGGACAATAAAAACGCATACATTTTGACAATTTGATGTTCAAATATGTGTTTTCTTAATCCTTAATTCTTAATAATTATTGACATTTTCAACGTGATAAAACTGATTACAAATGAGTCAATAATTTAAAATATCTTATTACGCTAATTTTTCAATATATCCCAGAAAACTTCAAGCATTGGTATAATACCGCTTTTATTCACTGGATTTTTTCTTTAAACAATTATACATGGTCAGCTAATATTACCATTGCTAAAACAAATCCCGATGAGTTTCTTAAAAATATATTTTCCAATTTCAATTCCGTGTCTAACCACAAGTATTCTCCAGTGCCTATCTGAAATCCAAATCCCCTTTTTTCTTTTATGATTAAACTATTTGATACCGGTTGACACAACACTGTACATGTGTACCTCGCTGGATAAATAAAACTAGACCTGAATGAAAACAATGAACAGTTTTATTGTAAGATATGTAACAATCCTTTAAATAAACATGAATTATTAACTAACATGAATAATAAACGAAACTATTATAAACGATACAAAGTAAAATTTTAGAGATGATATACATCTTACAGAATGAAAGGGGACATTTTTACCAGATACCATTACATACATACTACACTCAAATTAACGAAATAAAAATATAACAAAATTGTTTTAAAACAAATTATTAATACAAAACATGACAATTTATCCGATTCCTAATAAATTGCATTGACACGTAACCGTTAGTAATGAAATAAAACAGTTAAACACCGACCAAGTATCTGTACATATTATGTCTTTGCTTACTGTATAACACAAAATGTATGTTATGTAGAAGCCTTTGTCATTTTCTTGGTTCTAGACAAACCGCAAAAATGAAATGTAATGAATAATTCTTCAGATGAAAGAATTAAGTATATATTTATTAAGCATCTAAAACGTCTGTTTTACCCTCGAAAGGATGTATTAGAATTGAAGTAGGAAATAAAATAATTATGAATATTTTCTGTTTTACAGTATAGGGTTGAGGATGTAATTTTCGAGGGGCTCAAATTTTCGAGATGTTTAAATTTTTGTTCTTTTCGAAGGCGGAATTAAATCTATAGAACAGCATGAACAGCGAATTAGAACAATAATTAACCCTGTGACTTTTAAGAAAAAATATATAATATGTTGAAAAATGACTATTTAAAACAACGAAAATCCCAACCATTATAGTAAATAACTTTAGTAGAGAAACTATTTCAGTTTGTAATATGTAATGACAACAACATTCATAAAAAATCACCAGTGAATATTCCACGTAAATTACGGTGCGAGACAAACGAATATCTCATTAAGACTATTATTAGTTTCAGTGTATGATTATATCACAATACTGCTTGACAAGGGGAGATAAGTCGAGACATTTTGTTCTACCCTCCCGACTATCAAATCTCCCGATTTTCCTGATAGTTCTGCCATTTCTTCATTAACATTTACAGTATAATCTATCGGTTGAGGGTATATTTATCCCTGTTCTTCATTCACAGTATAATCTATTGACATCATTAACTTCCTATAAAAGGCATTAGTGTGTTGAGGGCATCATTATCCCTGTTCTTCATTAACTGTAAAATCGATATATCAGAATACCATTGACGTCAATAAAGGGTATAGTTATTTCATTTCTATATTAATCATAACAGTGAAATACACCATTGTCTGTCTATAAACCATCATCTCTCAACATGATGATGCAATGATAATAGTCTTTCAATTCGTGATATATGACATTGATTAGAAATGTTTGGCTTTCAAAAATTCTGTTTTGCACGCGACAATCATGGCAATAAAGATGAAAAAGGGAAAAAGAATATGAAAGAAAATTTATAATTCACAGAAATGTCAAAAATACAGTTAAATAATTGCTAACGGATTGCTTATAATTATTACCGCCCAAAGGAAAGGTTGGCAAAAATAAATAAATTACAAAATATCTTACACTATACCTAGGGTGGGGGGAGGGAATCCACTGTTTAGTATTGAATGATTTAACGGTATTAGTTCCTTTGCACACGTCACCTTGATAATCGGAATTCAGCTGCTGAATGCATCTTTTGTAATGTTAGAACAGCCACGAAACATAAATGTATAATCATAAATTGTAAGAGATTCTCGAAAGCACAAGGTGATGTTTTGCTACCGTCATGATGATCTTGGAAATAAATATGTACAAATATGGCGAAACTTATACATAATGTTCCCGGTATCTGAAAAAAAAATTAAAATATATTAATGCTTCTCTAGAAATGAAGTCGATCTGGTAATATCTTATAGAAGTACAAGTAAACGTGAGTCGATCGATTTCTTTAACTACATTTAGATGTAATAAAAACAGATGTACTCCAATCGTGATCTTAAAATGTACATATATCATAAGTGTTTAAGTCAATTCAAGAAAGATATGGTGTAATTTTGATATGATCAAAATGACGAGTTCTCCAATTTAGTGTTCAAAATTCATCTTAGGAGGTTAACGGTAATGATATTCATAATGAGAATATAAGTCAGTATAACTCTATTATGTAACCAAATGCAGAATATCGTACACGTTTATATATTACTGATGCGATTTAAATAGATTTAAATAGGTTTAATCGGACGCATGAATGATAATTTAAAATATGGAAATATTGATTGAAACAGGAACTGTCCATGTTAATTAGCATCGCACTTTAGCTTAATTTAGATTCTATTATGAAAAGATAAAGGAAATGTACCCATGTTTTTGTAGAATTTATCAAGGAATTTTGAGTTATGTCAAAATTTATGTTCGACGTATCGGCCACATAAATTGCAGTGCAATAATTCGCCAACAATTTACATATCAAAATTTTAAAAAATACATACCCAAACATATCACTGTAAGTTGTTGACAGCCTTGGACGTCGAATGAAAAGCTATGAATGGAGAGAAAATAACAGTATTGTAAAAAGTAAACAAATGATGATTGTGTTTCATCAAAAGGAATTGTGCCGTTGTCTCCAATCGATTAGATTCTTTAACATTCTATTTTGTCTAGGATATCTGTAATTCAAAAACTTGCGACCTCAGTTATGTAGCATTAATCAAATTCAGTATTAGTAACCCCCCGATAACCTAAACAAAATAGAAATTTTTAAACTCTTATATTGGCAGTTTTTCGTTGAAATGTAAATTCGATCCCACGCTTTCCAAAACTTACAGATATGAAAACAACGAAAACATTCCGATTGCTGACTTAAAACTTCCAATAAAGAGCAGGATATTGTTTCAATCGCTCTGATATCACATCCACAGAACTAACAAGTCTTTTTCATATTTTTCTGACTTACATTCACTTTTATTTAATCAATACAAAATTCCGACGATTATTCTATAGAGATAGAGATTCTATAGAGATTTTGTCAAAGTAAACCTCAAAAGTTTGACCAGGTCGGGCAAAGGGCAATATTTCGTGGAGGAATCTTAAAAAGTGAAAAAGTCGAGTTCAATGCGATACGATAACGATACGCAAGGGCCGACTGTTCGGGCCAGGTAAGATCATGGATGGATCGTTCAAATGTGAATGAAAACTAAAATGCAAGTATATTTTTCAACTTTTGTTGAATATAAGTTAATAGTTTTCAATTTCTTTTTGTCATAGTTGTTGTTGTCTATATACATGTTTACTTGTTAATCAAATTGAAAATTTCCAAATCAATCACTAATTGATTTATGATACGAGAAAAAAAATCATTATGATTGTCTGTTATTAGTAAGATCGATATTTTTCACTCACCTCGTTTTCTGTGTCGAGTGATCTGTACGCGTCGCCAGGCTCGGAGTATCGTGAAGTTCTTCGGTCGTGCGTCGCGGATGAATGATAGTCACGTGGTGAATGACTTGCTGACATTGGCATGTACATGCGCGACTGTCATGACAACGAAAAAGATAACACTGTTAGATCAATCCTTCTATAATACAGCAGGAGTATTTAGTCATTCTAGGTATAGTTAGTGGGCTTATCTGTTCCCGGTGACACACACGAGTCAAAGTTGAATTCAGCCATATTTTCTGTATTAGAAAGTTTATAAAATTTCATTTTCAATTCAATGTAAATATAGATATATTCATTAGATTGTGCATTGCAAACACGTCATGTAAAATATCTTCGGAAGAGCATATCCTCAACAGGTAATGGCATTTTTGAGACAAAATTACAATAACCGTGACCAAGCACCACACCTTTCTAAGCATCGTCGCCCTCCAAAATACAGAAATAATGATTATCTTTACAAAATCCAACATAAAAACATCTATTTAAAACATTCCTCCCTTACCGGCACAGCTGGGTATTCACTGACACTTTCCCAACCGTTATAGTATCCACCCGGACGGTCCTGTTCGGAACTATTCCATATCAGGTCCCTGGGCATTCGTTGTTCCCGTTCAGAGCTATCTCCAACATTATACGCTCTGTTGGCTTTCCACTTTTTCACTTTTGTCGGCATGCTGAATTCACTTCCATATCCAGGGATATTTCTGAGGATTTGAAAAAAATATCCATCAGTTTAATCATTTTCCTTTTTTTCTTTATCAATGTTTATCTTTGAAAGGTATTAAGTGATAATAATGTCCCGGTTATATCATCTAGACGATATTCTCTTCTGGTGAAAACTCTCGGGTGTGGCCAGCCAAGAAAAGTCGAGGAAAAAGAAACTGAAGTACAGAATGATTATAAAATCCTAGGGAACCGACACATATTTTATTTTGTGACTTTATATGCAGAGCCAACTGATAGGCCTTTATTCAGAGTTTTACACAAGCGTATTGGCGGTGATCAAAGATGCATACAGACACGCCATCGTTTCTAATGTAGAAAGGTGCAAAAATTATTCTCAGACTCATATTGTTTAGGAAAACTATAGATTTGACATGTCCACTAAACGAAGGCAACATATCAACAAAAAACGAATTAATAAAGACACCCCCGAAAAGGTACCTAGAGAATAAGATCGGTGTTTTCGGAAAGGAGAGTGTCGTCACATTGCCGGAGACCGCCAATAGCTATGTCCGCTGACAGTTTTTGTATCCATTTTGTCCTAGTTTTATTGTATTTGAGTTTGGATTATGGTTTTATACAGATTGGTATTTTCTATATCGTTTTTTAAAGTAGGATAAAATTCACTTACTTGTTTGACGTTCCTTTTTCCGTGCTTTTTCTCTTATGCATATATACGATCACCGCGATTATCACGATAACTGCCCCTCCAAGCCCTCCGGCCAACGCCATGATGTTGGCGATGTCACCAAACTTCTGACATTCCTCACTGTAATACTCGAACATGGTGTTCGGGTTACATCTATAAAATAATGAATTATTCAAATAAATATCTCTCGCCACGACCCATGCGACCAGTTATTTTGGATTCTAGGTTCCTAATAGTTATAGTAAGGTTGTAATTGTCTTTAAAAAGAGGTATTTAAACACAAGCATGAATTTAATGCAGTGTCATGACATGCATGTACAATTCATCATCGTGGGATCCTAAGGGCCATAACTCAAGTGGTTATGACGTTGACTAGTTCAATGCATCTTTAGTGCAACATAAAATTCTATAACGGAAGAAAATGCGTTACAACTGTTAACTTATGAAAATATCTATTTCCATTTCATTTTAATTTTTGTATTTATTGTTAAAAGAAAAGTTTGAAATAAAATGAAAATTATTAATAGAATATTCCATCGATGTTGAAAATGAAAATCACTATTTCTCTACTTATCAACGGAATACCACAAAGTAACACGAAACTAACGCCATTCTGATATCAGATGTTAGTGTGCTATTAAACATTTATCAAACTCGGTTATATGTAAAAAGTATTCCCTGAAAAAAATATTTCTCATCCACTTTGTAATTTGTGTCGCGATGAAAATGTGTCTCACATTACCAATGTTATAAAAGAATGTCTTACTTGCATCTTGCGTACCCTTCCGGGTGGAGCAAACACTCTCCGTAATCTCCACAAGAATGATATGCACATTTGGATCGACATGTGATAGATGTATCAGAAGGATTGGTACAATTTTGGTATATATTGCAATTTTGCTGCATATCGCACAAAGTCTGACTGTCCACTGAAAAATATATACATGTATTAGACGCAATAAAATAATCGTGGTATTAAAAATAAAGTCATCGTCAGTTTATATGAATTATAACAGGTGTTTGGTAGTTCAAAAACCATTTCATACTTTTTATACTCCTTAAGCAGGATATTCGAGCTTAAGAACGGATACTCGTCCACGGTTTGTCCATTCTTTGCATGATATGGAGCTGCACGTGTTTGATGGTCGTTAAAAATACAGAATATACATAATATTCAGCCCAGAATTTTTATAGAATTCGCCCAAAGTGCTAGGAATGTTCATAGAATTCTTCCAAAGTGCTTAACACACAATAACACACAATAATGCAGAATGTATGTAAAATTAACACACAATAACACACAATAATACAGAATGTATGTAAAATTAACACACAATAACACACAATAATACAGAATGTATGTATGTAAAATTAACACACAATAACACACAATAATACAGAATGTATGTAAAATTAACACACAATAACACACACAATAATACAGAATGTATGTAAAATTAACACACAATAACACAGAATGTATGTAACACACAAACACAAAATGTAACACACAATTAACACACAATAACACAGAATGTATGTAAAATTAACACACAATAACACACAATAATACAGAATGTATGTAAAATTAACACACAATAACACACAATAATACAGAATGTATGTAAAATTAACACAAAATAACACACAATAACACACAATAATACAGAATGTATGTAAAATTAACACACAATAATACAGAATGTATGTAAGATTAACACACAATAACACACAATAATACAGAATGTATGTAAAATAACACACAATAACACAAATTAACACACAATAACACACAATAATACAGAATGTATGTAAAATTAACACACAATAACACACAATAATACAGAATGTATGTAAAATTAACACACAATAACACACAATAATACAGAATGTATGTAAACTTAACACACAATAACACACAATAATACAGAATGTATGTAACACAAATTACAGAATGTATGTAAAATTAACACACAATAACACACAATAATACAGAATGTATGTAAAATTAACACACAATAACACAGAATGTATGTAAAATTAACACACAATAACACACAATAATACAGAATGTATGTAAAATTAACACACAATAACACACAATAATACAGAATGTATGTAAAATTAACACACAATAACACACAATAATACAAAATTAACACACAATAACACAACACACACAATAACACAGAATGTATGTAAAATTAAAAACACACAATAACACACAATAATACAGAATGTATGTAAAATTAACACACAATAACACACAATAATACAGAATGTATGTAAAATTAACATACAATAACACACAATAACACAGAATGTATGTAAAATTAACACACAATAACACACAATAATACAGAATGTATGTAAAATTAACACAAAATAACACAGAATGTATGTAAAATTAACACACAATAACACACGATATTACAGAATGTATGTAAAATTAACACAAAATAACACAGAATGTGTGTAAAATTAACACAAAATAACACAGAATGTATGTAAAATTAACACACAATAACACACAATAATACAGAATGTATGTAAAATTAACACACAATAACACACAATAATACAGAATGTATGTAAAATTAACACACAATAACACACAATAATACAGAATGTATGTAAAATTAACACACAATAACACAGAATGTATGTAAAATTAACACACAATAACACACAATGACACAGAATGTATGTAAAATTTAATCACAATAACACACAATAACACACAATAATACAGAATGTATGTAAAATTAACACACAATAACACACAATAATACAGAATGTATGTAAAATTAACAAACAATAATACAGAATGTATGTAAAATTAACACACAATAACACACAATAACACAGAATGTATGTAAAATTAACACACAATAACACAGAATGTATGTAAAATTAACAAACAATAATACAGAATGTATGTAAAATTAACAAACAATAATACACAATAATACAGAATGTATGTAAAATTAACACAGAATGTATGTAAAATTAACACACAATAACACACAATAATACAGAATGTATGTAAAATTAACACACAATAACACACAATAATACAGAATGTATGTAAAATTAACACACAATAACACACAATAACACAGAATGTATGTAAAATTAACACACAATGACACACAATAACACAGAATGTATGTAAAATTAACAATAACACACAATAACACAGAATGTATGTAAAATTAACACACAATAACACACAATAATACAGAATGTATGTAAAATTAACACACAATAATACAGAATGTATGTAAAATTAACACACAATAACACACAATAATACAGAATGTGTGTAAAATTAACACACAATAACACACAATAATACAGAATGTATGTAAAATTAACACACAATAACACACAATAATACAGAATGTATGTAAAATTAACACACAATAACACACAATAATACAGAATGTATGTAAAATTAACACACAATAACACACAATAATACAGAATGTATGTAAAATTAACACACAATAATACAGAATGTATGTGAAATTAACACAAAATAATACAGAATGTATGTGAAATTAACACACAATAACACATAATAACACAGAATGTATGTAAAATTAACACACAATAATACAGAATGTATGTAAAATTAACACACAATAACACACAATAACACAGAATGTATGTAAAATTAACACATAATAATACAGAATGTATGTAAAATTAACACACAATAATACAGAATGTATGTAAGATTAACACACAATAACACACAATAATACAGAATATATGTAAAATTAACACACAATAACACAACACACAATAATACAGAATGTATGTAAAATTTAACACACAATAACACACATGTAAAATAATACAGAATGTATGTAAAATTAAAACACAGAATGTATAACACACAATAACACACAATAATACAGAATGTATGTAAAATTAACACACACACAATAACACACAATAATACAGAATGTATGTAAAATTAACACAACAGAATGTACAAAATTAACACACAGAATGTATGTAAAATAACACACAATAATACAGAATGTATGTACAAATAACACACAATAAACACACAATAACACACAATAACACAGAATGTATGTAAAATTAACACACAATAACACACAATAATACAGAATGTATGTAAAATTAACACACAATAACACACAATAATACAGAATGTATGTAAAATTAACACACAATAACACACGATATTACAGAATGTATGTAAAATTAACACAAAATAACACAGAATGTGTGTAAAATTAACACACACAGAATGTATGTAAAAACACACAATAACACATGTATGTAAAACACACAATAACACACAATACAGAATGTATGTAAAATTAACACACAATAAATACAGAATGTATGTAAAATTAACACACAATAACACAACACAGAATGTATGAAAAATTAACACACAATAACACACAATAATACAGAATGTATGTAAAATTAACACACAATAACACACAATATTACAGAATGTATGTAAAATTAACACAAAATAACACAGAATGTATGTAAAATTAACACAAAATAACACAGAATGTATGTAAAATTAACACACAATAACACACAATAATACAGAATGTATGTAAAATTAACACACAATAACACACAATAATACAGAATGTATGTAAAATTAACACACAATAACACACAATAATACAGAATGTATGTAAAATTAACACACATTAACACACAATAATACAGAATGTATGTAAAATTAACACACAATAACACACAATAATACAGAATGTATGTAAAATTAACACACAATAACACACAATAATACAGAATGTATGTAAAATTAACACACAATAACACACAATAATACAGAATAATACAAATGTAAAATTAACACACAATAACACACAATAATACAGAATGTATGTAAAATAACACACAATAACACAATTAACACAACACACAATAATACAGAATGTATGTAAAATTAACACACAATAACACACAATAATACAGAATGTATGTAAAATTAACACACAATAACTCACAATCATACAGAATGTATGTAAAATTAACACACAATAACACACGATAATACAGAATGTATGTAAAATTAACACACAATAACACACAATAACACAGAATGTATGTAAAATTAACAAACAATAATACAGAATGTATGTAAAATTAACACACAATAATACAGAATGTATGTAAAATTAACACACAATAACACAGAATGTATGTAAAATTAACATACAATAACACACAATAACACAGAATGTATGTAAAATTAACATACAATAAAACAGAATGTATGTAAAATTAACATACAATAACACACAATAACACAGATTGTATGTAAAATTAACACACAATAACACACAATAATACAGAATGTATGTAAAATTAACACACAATAACACACAAAGAATGTATGTAAAATTAACACACAATAATACAGAATGTATGTAAAATTAACACACAATAATACAGAATGTATGTAAAATTAACACACAATAACACACAATAATACAGAATGTATGTAAAATTAACACACAATAACACACAATAATACAGAATGTATGTAAAATTAACACACAATAACACACAATAATACAGAATGTATGTAAAATTAACACAGAATAACACAAACAGTGTGTCACAATAACACAAAATAATACAAAATAACACAGAATGTATGTAAAATTAACACACAATAACACACAATAATACAGAATGTATGTAAAATTAACACAAAATAACACAGAATGTATGTAAAATTAACACACAATAACACACAATACAATAACACACAATAATACAGAATGTATGTAAAATTAACACACAATAACACACAATAACACAGAATGTATGTAAAATTAACACACAATAACACACAATAATACAGAATGTATGTAAAATTAACACACAATAACACACAATAATACAGAATAACACACAATAATAATACAGAATGTATGTGAAATTAACACACAATAACACATAATAACACAGAATGTATGTAAAATTAACACACAATAATACAGAATGTATGTAAAATTAACAAACAATAATACAGAATGTATGTGAAATTAACATACAATAACACACAATAACACAGAATGTATGTAAAATTAACACACAATAATACAGAATGTATGTAAAATTAACACACAATAACACACAATAACACAGAATGTATGTAAAATTAACACACAATAACACAGAATGTATGTAAAATTAACACACACAACACAGAATGTAATAAAATTAACACACAATAACACACAGAATGTATGTAAAATTAACACACAATACACACACAATTAACACACACAATAATACAGAATGTATGTAAAATTAACACACAATAACACACAATAATACAGAATGTATGTAAAATTAACACACAATAACACAGAATGTACAGAATGTAAAATTAACACACAATAACACACAATAATACAGAATGTATGTAAAATTAACACACAATAACACACAATAATACAGAATGTATGTAAAATTAACACACAATAACACACAATAACACAGAATGTATGTAAAATTAACACACAATAACACACAATAATACAGAATGTATGTAAAATTAATACACAATAACACACAATAACACACAATGTATGTAAAATTAATACACAATAACACACAATAACACACAATGACACACAATAATACACAATAACACACAATAACACACAATAACACACAATAACACACAATAACACACAATAACACACAATAACACATTATTCAAATCATATACACCCAAAGTATTAACTGATACATGATGATGATGATGATGATGGTGATTTTAAGCATACACTCTTATTTACCAGTACCTGTGTGAATATTTTGATATGAATTATAAATGAATACGTGTGGAGTGTGAATGTATATTGATATATTGTTCTTTCTTTATGTTATTATGAACATTTCATTTGTTTTTTTTTATAGAAATTCCATTTGTATATAAAATCATAATAGAACAGATGTACATGTTCAAAATATGTGTAACGTAGACATTTCTTACATAAAGTTACAGCTATCTGTGTCATCTTTCGTGTCCTCGATGCATCCACTGTGTTTGTACAGTTATCTTTAATGCAAAGTGTCCGGTTTCTCCAATCGGTATCATTTACAGTAGCTCGGACCTCCGTTTTATTCATACCCCGGTATTCCGTTTTGTGATCACATTCAACGCTTCCTTTTCTACAACAAAGAATAAGATAAACATAAAAAGATTCCCTGTATCAAAAGATGCAGGTAAGTAAAACTAAGGGGACATTTTATGGTTGTCATAGCGATATTACTGAGAAATATTCTATTTCTTTGTGCAACATGAAACTGGACATGTTTACAGCTCGTTAGTTTGCCTTTAGGTTTCATTTTGGCATGGCGGGTGGCGCCGATAAAGTAAGATAAGCTTCCTTTTCCAGAACTCCTGGTTTTTATCCTCATTGTACTTTGTCAGGTGTCTCTGCGTAAATCTTTCTTGTTTTCGTATTTTTACCCTAGTTGTATTGAATTTGAGTTTGGATTATGATTGACATATTTGTATGCAGAAAGTAAGCAGGAACTGCCTCTAAAAGATTCAGATTCGCCTGTCAGTCAAAACAATACCATTGACTTCAGTGACAGGCCTTCCACGACGGGCGTCATCCCCAAGGCTCTGCCTGCCATCCATCTTTTCACTGTAGCATATAAAGGGGCATCATTCCCTAGTGTTGTTACTATATCAGTATATATAACCTTAGGTACCAGCACTTTCTTATACGAATATCGATTCACTTCTCTTTCAGGGATTTTGTCTATTTTGCAAAAGTCAATTGCCTTGTTTATTTTAGAATGTTAAATCTTCGACATAAAATGACCAAATAACACAAATAATTATTATCACTCTAAGAGACTGTAGTCCTTTGTATTTCTGCATCTTGATTGATAAATTGTTTACACTATTGTCTTTACACCTACCAATGTATATTATGATATTCAAATTCACCACATCTTCAGATACCTCCAAATCTTAATCTTTTAGTTTACAGACCATGGAACATACATGTATCAGAAACAGCAAAGACAATACGGACATGTTTACAGAATCTTAATTCAAAGTCAACTTCGATGAAATTGGGACCAAATATGGACACAAGAAAGATTTACACGGAAACTTCTGAAACAGTACAAGTAGAATGAGATCATGTGTTTCGGAAGGGAAAGCGTCGTCTATTTTATCAATATAACCGGCCTTGTTATTTTGGTCAAGATATTCAACTATTTTTTGGGGTAATACCCTCTCCACAGTTATTTCCTTCATTCCTTAGCTGTCACGTGGTTGTTGAAATCTTTAGCAATCATATTTCCAAATAAATCTTTTCAAAACCAACCAAAATCCCATCTCCAGTTTTTGTTTATTATAAGTTGTCTTCTATCTGATAATGTTTAAGAAATATTCCTTTCAACGATCTACTGAACTAAAAACCGAATGAAAGTAAAGATTTACGTTAATTTTGATAGGTTCCAACTACGGAATGTTTACAAAAATGCAGACCCTGTGACACATACACATTGTAGGACAAAGATGCAAAAAAAAAATGATAATCTTCTCTTTATAAACTACCTGTAGAACAAATATTTTCATTATTTACCAACTTGGTAGATATCTCTACACGAACGTCCAAATAGTCTCCCTTTACCCTTTCGGCAGTATTAGGTTTATAATTATCACAATGATAGTCAAATGGAAGGGAAGTAACTCTGGAAAGTCAGACAGATGTAAATTAATTTTTTAAAATCTATATTTCATGTTTTGCAACATCGTTACATGCCTTGCATGTACACAACGAGACAGATCTTTTAATGGTAATATGTCGCACATATATGTCTTGACAAAATGGCTTCTTGAGTCTCAGATGTCTGCATTGTTGTAAAACTTCCATGAACTATGAGAGCGATTTCAAATGCAAAGATTTCAGAATGAAAACAATTACTTACCTGAATCCGATAATCGTCACTCTGTAAAATCCCTTTGTTTCGCTATATAGATCATTTAACTGATGGAAGAAATTAATGAAATCAATATACACTGATTACATATTTGTCATATAAGAGATTATCAAATATATAAAAGTTTAAAGAGTTCTTGAAATATTCTTAACGTGTTGTGCGTGTAAATGTACTAAAGAAACAAGTATTCAATACGGAGCATAAATTCATATTTAAAAAAGAGAGTAAAAAAATCATGTCATCAATTTTATGTGTATTTATGATTTTACCAAGAGCACCTTCTAATACAAATTCAAAATGAGACACAGTAAAGATAAATAATGAATTAAACTGTATCATTTAACCGTTTTGTCCTATGACTTGTCAGTGATTCTATGACTCAATTTGTAAAAACCTATAAGGTGACCTGAAAATCCTAATTTAATATTATCCAGTTGTTTTGTCTTAAAATTTGAAACATCAACGAAATAAAGCATATATTATTCACCTATTTACCCATAAATTATAAATAAAGTAGACTCGATTGTAGACTGTTTCTGTTTTCAATGTTTTGTACCTTGTGTATGGACACGTATAATCTAGATATTGACAGGAGCTCTTTAACAGATTTATACCTTACATCGGTCTGTTTCGTGGAGAGAGATATTTCAACACGAGTTTCATAGAAAACAATTACTACTGTATCGTCTTTTATGCTGATAATCCAATCTAAATGGTAATGACCAAATAAGGAGAAACCTCTTAATTAGTACACAAGGGGAGACTTCCTATGATTTCTCGTAACGGACTCTACCAATGGAAAGGAAGGATGAGATCTAAGGGGGGAGGGGGTATCCTCCCTTCACCTAAAACGAGTACTTTCTCAAAATGAATTTTTTTTATAATCGCAAAATGTTGTGGTTAAATGATAATAGTTTGTACATTTTCTTTCCATGGAAATTAAAAACATAATGTTAAAATTGTATGATTTCCCGTACAAAATAATTAATTTCGCTCGTAGAATAAAATGTGTCAATACTTTACTCTCTTGCTTTACGGTCATACATTCACATTTCTCACGGCTTATGGAATATGTATATTAAAGAGAACCCATTAAAATACTGAGGCCACGCCAAACAAATGTATGTTGTATATACGACTTACAATGATGAACGTATGACTTATTGCAGAAAGGTCGAAGACCTAATACAATACCGGTATAGCATAGTTTGTGAAACTTACCATTTTACGGAATCCATCCTCATACGCTTTGTAGAGAGAAGTACCTTTCTGTTCCAGGTCTTTTTCAAATGGCATGTCCACCACGACCGTCAAGGTCACTGCAAGGACGATTTCATCTGAAAATTAAAAAGACACGTATAAAGAAATAGAGTTTAATATGGTGTTCTTTTATCGAAAAAGTACAAAGTACAGTCTTCTAACATAAACCTTTGTTTTATAAAGGAAACTCCTGTGATCGGTAAGCTAAAAGCCTAGAAACAGCTTTGACCACGAAAGTTGTAGTCCTTTTGTTGATGTCAATGCTTAACAATGTCAATGATTTATTTAGATAAAGAAATGTATACACTATAATACAAATTATATAAAAAACGAAATGTCTCTTTTTTTCTTTTTTTTTCTTTTTTTCATGTGATCAAAATACTTTGAAATTGCTAACGTTATCCTTTTCATGCACTTTATTCTTTATTCTTAGCAGAGTTGGTCTTTTAAAATGCAATTTCGGAACTCAGATTTAGCATCAAATTCGATTGTCTCGTCATTTTTGATCGAGGCGATATATGTCAAACCAAAATAGGTTAATTCTTAGAAATTTCGGTGAGACAACCGTTTGCATATTCTGTGACATATTGAGATGTTGTCCCCAAATTGGTCAAGAAAGTTTATCCAATGGTTCTCTCTATCAAAACTGTTTCGTTTCAAATTTATGTTTACCTTCCTTATATATTCTAGTTCTAGAAATTACATCATCGTACTTGTATTTATGTAGATTAAAATGATAGGCAACAACATTGTTTTTTGTGTAAGATATACATTATATTCCAAGGTGTGGTTAGCTATACTGCATCATAAGATGATATAATCATGTTGCTGAGTTTTTGCTGATTAACATGACGATCAAGTTATAAATAGGGACTTCTGTTGGTGTCCCTATTGAAATAACGTTCACTATTTAAATATTAATCCAATGGTGAAAAAAATTACTTCAATAGTTGTTGAACCAAACCGGCGATATCTCATGCCGAGTTGACTATTGAAATATTACTTCAATAGAGTTGACGTTGTTTCAATTGTAGCTGTATGTTAATTTTAATTGAATCTGCGACCACTATTGCAATAATGTATTTTTTCACTATTATTAATAATATTTCAATTTTGAAAATTTATTTCAATAGGGGTTTCAATACAACTAAAAAAAGAAAAAAAAAACTTCAGATCAATTTCGTTCTGGAATTGAACATTACTACTCAATATTAACTTACCGATCGGCACTACCGTCTCAGTAATGTCCGTGGTTGTTGGAACATGTGTTGTAGTGCTTAGAGATGTCACTGCGGATGTGTGTTTAGATGAGGCTGATGATGAAACAGTAGATGTGACAGGCGATGTATTAGTACTAGATGTAGTTGTAACGTTGTCAGTAGTTGTTGGAGTAGTAGTAGGTGTAGTTGTCGGAGTGGTAGTAGGTGTGGTTGGCGAAGTAGATGTTGATGTTGGAGTAGATGTTGGAGTAGATGTAGATGTCGGAGTAGATGTTTGAGTAGATGCAGGTGTTGGAGTAGATGTAGATATTGGAGTAGATGTAGATGTTGGAGTAGAAGTAGATGTCGGAGTAGATGTTTGAGTAGATGTTGATGTTGGAGTAGATGTTAGAGTAGATGTAGATGTCGGAGTAGATGCAGATGTTGAAGTAGAAGTAGATGTCGGAGTAGATGTTGTAGTAGATGTAGATGTCGGAGTAGATGTTGGAGTAGATGTAGATGTAGATGTTGTAGTAGATGTAGATGTCGGAGTAGATTTTGGAGTAGATGTAGATGTTGTAGTAGATGTAGATGTCGGAGTAGATGTAGATGTCGGAGTAGATTTTGGAGTAGATGTAGATGTTGTAGTAGATGTAGATGTTGTAGTAGATGTAGATGTCGGAGTAGATGTTTGAGTAGATGCAGGTGTTGGAGTAGATGTAGATGTCGGAGTAGATGTTGGAGTAGATGTAGATATTGGAGTAGATGTAGATGTTGGAGTAGAAGTAGATGTCGGAGTAGATGTTTGAGTAGATGTAGATGTTGGAGTAGATGTTAGAGTAGATGTAGATGTTGGAGTAGATGTAGATGTCGGAGTAGATGTTGTAGTAGACGTAGATGTCGGAGTAGATGTTGGAGTAGATGTAGATGTCGGAGTAGATGTTGTAGTAGATGTAAATGTCGGAGTATATCTTGGAGTAGATGTAGATGTTGTAGTAGATGTAGATGTCGGAGTAGATTTTGGAGTAGATGCAGGTGTTGGAGTAGATGTAGATGTCGGAGTAGATGTTGGAGTAGATGTAGATGTTGGAGTAGATGTTAGAGTAGATGTTGATGTCGGAGTAGATGTTAGAGTAGATGAAGGTGTTGGAGTAGATGTTAGAGTAGATGTAGATGTTGGAGTAGATGTAGATGTCGGAGTAGATGCAGATGTTGGAGTAGATGTAGATGTCGGAGTAAATGTTGGAGTAGATGTAGATGTCGGAGTAGATGTTGTAGTAGATGTAGATGTCGGAGTAGATTTTGGAGTAGATGTAGATGTTGTAGTAGATGTAGATGTCGGAGTAGATTTTGGAGTAGATGTAGATATTGGAGTAGATGTAGATGTTGGAGTAGAAGTAGATGTCGGAGTAGATGTTTGAGTAGATGTTGATGTTGGAGTAGATGTTAGAGTAGATGTAGATGTTGGAGTAGATGTAGATGTCGGAGTAGATGCAGATGTTGGAGTAGAAGTAGATGTCGGAGTAGATGTTGTAGTAGATGTAGATGTCGGAGTAGATGTTGGAGTAGATGTAAATGTCGGAGTAGATTTTGGAGTAGATGTATATGTTGTAGTAGATGTAGATGTCGGAGTAGATGTTGTAGTAGATGTAGATGTCGGAGTAGATGTTGGAGTAGATGTAGATGTCGGAGTAGATGTTGGAGTAGATGTAGATGTCGGAGTAGATTTTGGAGTAGATGTAGATGTTGTAGTAGATGTAGATGTCGGAGTAGATGTTTGAGTAGATGCAGATGTTGGAGTAGATGTAGATATTGGAGTAGATGTAGATGTTGGAGTAGATGTAGATGTTGGAGTAGATGTAGATGTTGGAGTAGAAGTAGATGTCGGAGTAGATGTTTGAGTAGATGTAGATGTTGGAGTAGATGTTAGAGTAGATGTAGATGTTGGAGTAGATGTAGATGTCGGAGTAGATGCAGATGTTGGAGTAGATGTTGATGTTGGAGTAGATGTTTGGGTAGATGTAGATGTCGGAGTAGATGCAGATTTTGGAGTAGATGTTGATGTTGGAGTAGATGTTTGAGTAGATGTAGATGTTGTAGTAGATGTAGATGTTGGAGTAGATATAGATGTCGGAGTAGATGTTGGAGTAGATGTAGATGTCGGAGTAAAAGTAGGTGAATTTGTCGGAGTGGTAGTAGGTGTAGTTGTCGGAGTGGTTGCAAGTGTGGTTGTCGGAGTGGTAGTAGGTGTAGTTGTCGGAGTGGTAGTAGGTGTGGTTGTCGGAGTGGTTGTAGGTGTAGTTGTCGGAGTAGTAGTAGGTGTGGTTGTCGGAGTAGTAGTTAGTGTGGTTGTCGGAGTAGTAGTAGGTGTGGTTGTCGGAGTGGTAGTAGGTGTGGTTGTCGGAGTGGTTGTTGGTGTAGTTGTCGGAGTAGGTGTGGTTGTCGGAGTGGTAGTAGGTGTTGTTGTCAGAGTAGTGGTAGGTGTATTTGTCGGAGTGGTAGTAGGTGTGGTTGTCGGAGTGGTAGTAGGTGTGGTTGTCAGAGTAGTGGTAGGTGTATTTGTCGGAGTGGTAGTAGGTGTGGTTGTCGGAGTGGTAGTAGGTGTGGTTGTCGGAGTAGTAGTAGGTGTAGTTGTCGGTATAGTAGTAGGTGTAGTTGTCGGAGTGGTAGTAGGTTTAGTTGTCGGAGTGGTAGTAGGTGTAGTTGTCGGTATAGTAGTTTGTGTTGTTGTCGGAGTAGTGGTAGTAGGTGTGGTTGTCGGAGTGGTAGTAGGTGTTGTTGTCTGAATGGTAGTAGGTGTGGTTGTCGGAGAAGTAGTAGGTGTGGTTGTCGGAGTGGTAGTAGGTGTGGTTGTCGGAGTGGTAGTAGGTGTAGTTGTCGGTATAGTAGTAGGTGTAGTTGTCGGTATAGTAATAGGTGTTGTTGTCGGAGTAGTAGTAGGTGTTGTTGTCGGAGTGGTAGTAGGTGTAGTTGTCTCAGTAGTAGTAGGTGTAGTTGTCGGAGTAGTAGTAAGTGTAGTTGTCGGAGTGGTAGTAGGTGTAGTTGTCGGAGTGGTAGTAGGTGTGGTTGTCGGAGTGGTAGTAGGTGTGGTTGTCGGAGTGGTAGTAGGTGTTGTTGTCGGAGTAGTGGTAGTAGGTGTGGTTGTCGGAGTAGTGGTAGGTGTAGTTGTCGGAGTGGTAGTAGGTGTGGTTGTCGGAGTGGTAGTAGGTGTGGTTGTCGGAGTAGTAGTAGGTGTGGTTGTCGTAGGTGTGGTTGTCGGAGTGGTAGTAGGTGTAGTTGTCGGAGTGGTAGTAGGTGTGGTTGTCGGAGTGGTAGTAGGTGTGGTTGTCTGAGTAGTAGTTGGTGTGGTTGCCGGAGTAGTAGTAGGTGTGGTTGTCGGAGTAGTGGTGGTAGGTGTGGTCGTCGGAGTAGTAGTAGGTGTAGTTGTCGGAGTGGTAGTAGGTGTAGTTGACGGAGTAGTAGTAAGTGTGGTTGTCGGAGTAGTAGTAGGTGTGGTTGTCGGAGTAGTGGTAGTAGGTGTTGTTGTCGGAGTAGTAGTAGGTGTTGGTGTCGGAGTGGTAGTAGGTGTGGTTGTCGGAGTAGTAGTAGGTGTGGTTGTCGGAGTGGTTGTAGGTGTAGTTGTCGGAGTGGTAGTAGGTGTGGTTGTCGTAGTGGTGGTAGGTGTGGTTGTCGGAGTAGTAGTAGGTGTGGTTGTCGGTATAGTAGTAGGTGTAGTTGTCGGAGTGGTAGTAGGTGTAGTTGTCGGTATAGTAGTATGTGTTGTTGTCGGAGTAGTGGTAGTAGGTGTGGTTGTCGGAGTGGTAGTTAGTGTGGTTGTCGGAGTAGAAGTTGGTGTAGTTGTAGGAATGGTAGTAGGTGTGGTTATCGGAGTAGTAGTAGGTTTAGTTGTCGGAGTGGTAGTAGGTGTAGTTGTCGGTATAGTAGTAGGTGTTGTTGTCGGGGTAGTAGTAGGTGTTGTTGTCGGAGTGGTAGTAGGTGTAGTTGTCGCAGTAGTAGTAGGTGTAGTTGTCGGAGTGGTAGTTAGTGTGGTTGTCGGAGTAGTAGTACGTGTAGTTGTAGGAATGGTAGTAGGTGTGGTTGTCGGAGTAGTGGTAGTAGGTGTGGTCGTCGGAGTTGTAGTAGGTGTAGTTGTCGGAGTGGTAGTAGGTGTTGTTGTCGTTGTAGTAGTAGGTGTAGTTGTAGGAGTAGTAGTAGGTGTGGTGGTCGGAGTAGTGGTAGTAGGTGTGGTCGTCGGAGTTGTAGTAGGTGTAGTTGTCGGAGTGGTAGTAGGTGTTGTTGTCGTTGTAGTAGTAGGTGTAGTTGTCGGAGTGGTAGTAGGTGTGGTTGTCGTAGGTGTAGTTGTCGGAGTAGTAGTAGGTGTGGTTGTCGGAGTGGTAGTTAGTGTGGTTGTCGGAGTAGTAGTACGTGTAGTTGTAGGAATGGTAGTAGGTGTGGTTGTCGGAGTAGTAGTAGGTGTAGTTGTCGGAGAAGTAGTAGGTGTGGTTGTCGGAGTGGTAGTAGGTGTGGTTGTCGGAGTGGTAGTAGGTGTAGTTGTCGGTATAGTAGTAGGTGTTGTTGTCGGAGTAGTAGTAGGTGTTGTTGTCGGAGTGGTAGTAGGTGTAGTTGTCGGAGTAGTAGTAGGTGTAGTTGTCGGAGTAGTAGTAGGTGTAGTTGTCGGAGTGGTAGTAGGTGTAGTTGTCGGAGTGGTAGTAGGTGTGGTTGTCGGAGTGGTAGTAGGTGTGGTTGTCGGAGTAGTGGTAGTAGGTGTTGTTGTCATTGTAGTAGTATGTGTTGGTGTCGGAGTAGTAGTAGGTGTAGTTGTCGTAGTGGTAGTAGGTGTAGTTGTCGGAGTAGTAGTAGGTGTTGTTGTCTGAGTGGTAGTAGGTGTAGTTGTCGGAGTAGTAGTAGAGGTGGTTGTCGGAGTAGTAGTAGGTGTAGTTGTCGTAGTGGTAGTAGGTGTGGTTGTCGGAGTAGTAGTAGGTGTTGTTGTCGGAATAGTAGTAGGTGTGGTTGTCTGAGTAGTAGTTGGTGTGGTTGCCGGAGTTGTGGTAGGTGTGGTTGTCGGAGTAGTGGTAGGTGTAGTTGTCGGAGTGGTAGTAGGTGTGGTTGTCGGTGTAGTAGGAGGTGTGGTTGTAGAATAGTGTAGGTGTGTTCGGAATAGTAGTAGGTGTGGTTGTCTGAGTAGTAGTTGGTGTGGTTGCCGGAGTTGTGGTAGGTGTGGTTGTCGGAGTAGTGGTAGGTGTAGTTGTCGGAGTGGTAGTAGATGCAGTTGGCGGAGTAGTAGTAGGTGTAGTTGTCGGAGTAGTAGTAGGTGTAGTTGTCGGAGTAGTGGTAGGTGTTGTTGTCTGAGTAGTGGTAGGTGTGGTTGCCGGAGTGGTGGTAGATGTAGTTGTCGGAATGGTAGTAGGTGTGGTTGCCGGAGTAGTAGTAGGTGTGGTTGTCGGATTAGTAGTAGGTGTGGTTGTCGGAGTGGTAGTAGGTGTGGTTGCCGGAGTAGTAGTAGTTGTTGTTGTCGGAGTGGTAGTAGGTGTGGTTGTCGGAGTGGTAGTAGGTGTGGTTGCCGGAGTAGGTGTGTTGTAGTAGTAGTAGGTGTGGTTGTTGTAGTGGTAGAAGGTGTGGTTGTCGGAGTGGTAGTAGGTGTAGTTGTTGGTATAGTAGTAGGTGTTGTTGTCGGAGCAGTAGTAAGTGTGGTTGTCGCAGTAGTAGTAGGCGTAGTTATCGAAGTAGTAGTAGGTGTAGTTGTCGGAGTGGTAGTAGGTGTGGTTGTCGGATTAGAAGTAGAGGTAGTTGTCAGAGTAGTAGTTGGTGTGGTTGTCGGAGTGGTAGTAGGTGTAGTTGTCGGTGTAGTAGTAGGTGTGGTTGTCGGAGTGGTAGTAGGTGTGGTTGTCGGAGTGGTAGTAGGTGTGGTTGTCGGAGTGGTAGTGTTTGTTGTTGTCGGAGTGGTCGTAGGTGTGGTTGTCGTTGTAGTAGTAGGTGTTGGTGTCGGTGTGGTAGTAGGTGTAGTTGTCGTTGTAGTAGTAGTAGGTGTAGTTGTCGGAGTAGTAGTAGGTGTTGTTGTCGGAGTGGTAGTAGGTGTAGTTGTCGGAGTAGTAGTAGGTGTGGTTGTCGGAGTAGTAGTAGGTGTAGTTGTCGGAGTAGTAGTAGGTGTGGTTGTCGGAGTAGTAGTAGGTGTAGTTGTCGGAGTAGTAGTAGGTGTAGTTGTCGGTGTGGTAGTAGGTGTGGTTGTCGGAGTAGTAGTAGGTGTGGTTGTCGGAGTGGTAGTAGGTGTAGTTGTCGGTGTAGTAGTAGGTGTGGTTGTCGGAGTAGTAGTAAGTGTGGTTGTCGGTGTGGTAGTTGGTGTGGTTGTCGGAGTAGTAGTAGGTGTGGTTGTCGGAGTAGTAGTGGGTGTAGTTGTCGGAGTAGTAGTAGGTGTAGTTGTCGGAGTGGTAGTAGGTGTGGTTGTCGGAGAGTAGTGGTAGGTGGTAGGTGTGGTTGTCGGAGTAGTAGTAGGTGTGGTTGTCGAAGTAGTAGTAGGTGTAGTTGTCGGAGTAGTAGTAGGTGTAGTTGTCGGTGTGGTAGTAGGTGTGGTTGTCGGAGTAGTAGTAGGTGTAGTTGTCGGTGTGGTAGTAGGTGTGGTTGTCGGAGTAGTAGTAGGTAGTTGGTGTTGTTGTCGTTGTAGTAGTAGGTGTTGGTGTCGGAGTGGTAGTAGGTGTGGTTGCCGGAGTAGTAGTAGGTGTGGTTGTCGGATTAGTAGTAGGTGTGGTTGTCGGCAGTTGTCGGAGTAGTAGTAGGTGTAGTTGTCGGAGTAGTGGTAGGTGTTGTTGTCTGAGTAGTGGTAGGTGTGGTTGCCGGAGTGGTGGTAGATGTAGTTGTCGGAATGGTAGTAGAGGTGGTTGTCGGAGTGGTAGTAGGTGTGGTTGTCGGAGTAGTAGTAGGTGTGGTTGTCGGAGTTGTGGTAGGTGTGGTTGTCGGAGTGGTAGTAGGTGTGGTTGTCGGAGTGGTAGTAGGTGTGGTTGTCGGAGTGGTGGTAGTTGTAGCTGTCGGAGTGGTAGTAGGTGTGGTTGCCGGAGTAGTGGTAGGTGTGGTTGTCGGAGTCGTAGTAGATGTAGTGTTCTGATTAACTCCAGTCACCGAATAAAGACAAAACGGCAACAGCAACGTTAATGTTAGAACTGAAAGAAAATACATACATAGTATTACTTTAATGTTAGTTGACCCTTTAGAGTTGATTGGGGGCATTATGATTTCATCTGGTTAAACAACATATCATTGATCCTCAGGATGCACTAACATATAGCATGATAAGTGCTTGATCGGCGTTGTTTGGCCCGTAAAAAATCAATTTACATATAATTCTGTCAAGTTGTAAAAGGTTTGATGAATATTTACTATGAAGATTTCTTTTGAAAATCATATGTAGTACTTTGAATAATATTCGAAATGATAGAAGCAGTTGCATTAGGGAATTAATTTGTAAAATTGCTTATTAGAAGAATATTTGTAATTGCGCTGTTCCATTGGTTTAAAGTCTGAGATTTTTTATACGTACGTTGCGACATCTTGTTTGCCAGCAGTAATTTTTCCTGTAGGATTTAACTCCCTTTAAACACAAACCAAACAGAAAAAAGGCAAATAATAAAACATTTCTAATGAAAAATATGTAAATCACACCCGATCCGCCATTTTATGTTACGATCATTAATACAAAGCGTCGCCTAGAGTTTTGTTTTTATGGGATTAGACAATTTTTAAACCCCAAAGTTATTTACTGACTGGTGTCAAGTGGATCGTGTGAGACACGAAGCCTGTGGATGTATAGAGGGGGTATTTACAGACTCAATAAATTGTATTTTATTGTTTAACAGCTCAGATCTTGTGTATGAAATAGTGCAGCGCAACGATTAGAATAGAATAATTCATTGTGTAAAGATATTTTTCCCATGAATGAATACTTGTCGCGAATCGGTGTATACTGAAATTTCCTATTCAAACTACACCATACAGCTGGTTCCTTCTGCCAGGACCTGTAGTTGATACAATTGACCTAAATTGCTATAGCCAAGGCAGCGTCAGATAAAAAAAAAACGTTCTTCGAAATTAATATCTAACATCAGATGGGGAGGTGAATAATCAAAAAACTAAATAAAGTTAGTCATTCTTAGTATGGTGTATATCAAAATAGAAGGCTGGCTTTTGGACATTGTGATCAGCCAGTGCAACGATTTGTATAAACGAGGAATCCAGGTTACAGTAAAGCTCGGAAAGTCCAACATCGGCAATCTAAAAGGGTTGATAAACAATTATAACCATCATCTAAAAGTTCAATGCATTTGTCACAAAACTCTGGCATTGTTTGTACGCATTTTATCTCGGCTGTATTCAAGTGTCGTTTAGTTTTACGTTGTCGACATTTAGAAAAGTAACAACAGTACTATTGTCATTCTACATATGTTGATTTTCGAGGACTATTACAAATGTATGCCGAAACAGTGCACATCTGCTAGGAATTCAGTTTACAAAGGGTGCCATTTCAACCCAATATAAATTTAACCTCTACAAAATAAAAAATATCTAGGGCATGCCATATTGCGAGGGTTAGGTTGGGGATTTCCCGATACTATAGACCCAAAGCAATCTCTCTTAGTGTGACTACTGTACTGAAAGAAACCGCTAGCCGACTAGTCAGCTACAAAGAACTTGGCGACAATTCTGATTCAGATTTATGGATGTAATCTCAGCTATCAATGGGATGACAAAGCTCAATAAAGAATTACGATATCACAAATATAACTGCATGATAAGGAAAAAATTATCACTCAAAAGAATGCACCATGTCGTGAATCATCAAGCGTTGTTACGTATTAAAGAGCAGCCCTACAACACAGGCAACAATAAATATATCAATGTTACCACTTCAAGACAAATTAAACATTTGTATTGTAACAAAATCAAACAAAACAAAACGCCAATGTTTCTACCATTCAAAATTGATAAGAAAAAAAAAATTAAGTCTAGGTAACTCTTCTGTTCAACAAAATTAGAACATTAATCCGTTTTATATCAATATTCCGTTTTATATCAATATTTCGTTTAATATCAATATTCCGTTTTATATCAATATTTCGTCTCATTTCTTTAGGCTTCAATTTCTCTTACGTAGTAAATAACTCAATGATTTATGGATATTATCATTTAAAGAAAAGAAAAGTTTTTTTAACATGTTTAAATTCACAAAACATTTGCAGAGTTTATCTTTAAGTTGTCAGAACATCAAAACACGTTAAAATTTTATCACATAGTATGGAATCCCGACACCATTTGCATAATTTATCTCTAACTTGTAAAAGCCCAAGATTAAGACATCTTATATTTAGTTTATCAAATTTTATCATTATATCAACTCAATTCAACCTTAACGTTATCAATTATATCAATATTTACACAATTTACCTCTTACGTCATCAATTATATCAACGTTTGCACAATTTACTTCTTACGTCATCAATATATCAACATTTACACAATTTACCTCTTACGTCATCAATTATATCAACGTTTACACGATTCATTCTAAGATCATCAATTATATCAACATTTACATAATTTATATCTAACGTCATCAATTATATCTAGCTTTACGCAATTCATCTCAAACTGTATAAATTACATCATCATTTACCCTTTTTATCTCAAACTGTATGAATTATAAATCATCATTTACCCTTTTTATCTCAAACTGTATGAATTATATCATCATTTTACCCTTTTTATCTCAAACTGTATGAATTATAAATCATCATTTTACCCTTTTTATCTCAAACTGTATAAATTACATCATCATTTTACCATTTTTATCTCAAACTGTATAAATTATAAATCATCATTTACCCTTTTTATCTCAAACTGTATGAATTATAAATCATCATTTACCCTTTTCATCTCAAACTGTATGAATTATACATCATCATTTTACCCTTTTTATCTCAAACTGTATGAATTATAAATCATCATTTACCCTTTTTATCTCAAACTGTATGAATTATAAATCATCATTTACCCTTTTTATCTCAAACTGTATGAATTATATCATCATTTACCCTTTTTATCTCAAACTGTATGAATTATACATCATCATTTTACCCTTTTTATCTCAAACTGTATGAATTATACATCAACATTTACCCTTTTTATCTCAAACTGTATGAATTATACATCATCATTTACCCTTTTTATCTCAAACTGTATGAATTATACATCAACATTTACCCTTTTTATCTCAAACTGTATGAATTATACATCATCATTTACCCTTTTTCTCTCAAACTGTATGAATTATACATCATCATTTTACCCTTTTTATCTCAAACTGTATGAATTATAAATCATCATTTACCCTTTTTATCTCAAACTGTTTGAATTATATCATCATTTTACCCTTTTATCTCAAACTGTTTGAATTATATCATCATTTACGCTTTTTATTTCAAACGGTATGAATTATATCAACATTTACACAATTTATCACAATCTGTACGAATTATATCAAAATGTACACAATTTATCTCTAACGTTGTGAATTACATCAACATTTACACATATTTTTTCCAACTTTGTCAGTTTTATCAAAATTTACTGATTCACCTCCAACGTTGTGGAAAACGTTACAGAACTGCTTTCATGGTTTTTACTTTGACTATTGATCAGGTCATAATGTAATAAAAACGAGCTCACAACTCTTTTCTTAAATGATTTAGACAATAGATATAGACTCCAACTTACAGCTTCGGAGAAATGTGCAAATGTTATGAACAATGTAAATAACTGATATATTAAAAATGTACACAGAAGTTACTTAATTAGCATTGAATCAATAGCAGTTATATATTATGTGATTATTTTATGAAATTATCCTTTTAAAACTTACCAATATTTCCACTTTGAAAACAATCATGCAATACTCGAAGGATTCCAGGCTTAACAAACCTTTTGAATAATTGTCCTTGATGAAGATGTATGAAACACTTTTCAATGTACATCAATCTACATAAATGTTATTTAGTTAGAAACACATTTTGTAATGTAACCTGCAAGAGGTGACCGTGCACCGATAGTCTCACTGTATTAGTGGTGCATATTCCGAAAATACGTGACGACGTCACATAAGTAAACATCCCATCTAAGGAATTCGTTATCATTATTTCTAGCACTCCCTAGTTTTATCTTACGCTCAGTAGATACAACAACTATTTCATTTTATGTTTACTTACAAGTACAATGGTAGACTTAGTAATTCACAACAATACAGTGTTGTAGCTTCCTCTTACTGATATAATTATGCATAGACAAAGAATTATATAGAAAATTTTAAAAGCTTGTTTTAAACTTAATATTCCATACTAGACTTAGTTAAGTGTACGTTTCACCTTCTACTGAGTAGATCCAATTTACAATCATATTTTATATATTTCACAACAATACAGTGTTGTAGCTATGTCTCACTGATTTTCTTATGTATAGACAAATAGTTACAACGCTTCTTAATTTAGTATTTAGCAATAGTCTAAATTATGTGTGAATAAATACCCGAAGGTCATTATGATCTATTTACACTTGGTCTTAAACGAGTTGTCATTTCATACGAGATTTTAGGAAACAAGTCTTAAAAGGTTTTATTTTTGTAAGCTATAATTAAAACCTCGAGAAGAGTTTTATATAATCTCACATAAAATGAAAACAACCTACTTTTTTATCACATAGCTATGAAAAGTTACATTTCGACAAGTATTGCCATTAAAGAGTGGAGGATAAGATCAAACGGAGGCAGCTGCTTGATGCGTTATTTTTAATCTTTGTTAGTTAACAGGTGGTTTATTTGATAATTATAATCTTAACATAATCGATGTTCATGTAAAATAGTCAATGTAGTCAGATATTATAAAATAATTTATTATTGGTGAGCGAATCTCTGGAAATAGGCCTATAGCAACAGGTCAAAAGTATTGTGTGTGATGTGATGAAGCACTTCATCTTGACATTTTCTTTAAAAACAGTGACATGTCAGAGTGAAATAATCATGGTAAAGCCAGGAGCTACTGTTCTACACTGAACATAGCGCCACATACGACCTGACTATGGCCATAAAAAACAATATAGATATCTTTTAAATCAAGATAAACTCGACAAATACTTACGTGAAAATATGACACCAGACTAGACATATACCGAGGCAGAAAATAAGTAAGAAATAGAGTGGACAAAATACAAGAAAATACCACCATGTCAACATAGTCATAATACTAGCTCTAATTCAATAAACCTAGGGCAGAAACAACAAAATACCACCATGTCAACATAGTCATAATACTAGCTCTAATTCAATAAACCTAGGGCAGAAACAACAAAATACCACCATGTCAACATAATCATAATACTAGCTCTAATTCAATAAACCTAGGGCAGAAACAACAAAATACCACCATGTCAACATAATCATAATACTAGCTCTAATTCAATAAACCTAGGGCAGAAACAACAAAATACCACCATGTCAACATAGTCA